AGTTAATTATCCTTACCCCAATGATAAACAGCTCAAAATGTTAGAAGTGTCGAGATGTTTAAAACTTTACAACAGAATTGTAATAGAAACAATACTTCAAATTCAATTCCCACGTCAGACAATACATAACACGTCTTCATCACTTAAGATCAACTGTTTAATCATTTTTATGGAACTAACAGCTAGTTATTCTGAAAAGCATAACAAACGCATAAATACTCTCCGTTGACAAAATTAAGGGGTTCTTATCGTTAAAACAAGTGGAACACAACATAAATTCAGACCAAAAGTCAATGTTCCTAAGGGAGATACCTCGTTCACAGAATGGTAAGTATTAATATTTATCTGAGTTAAATAAAATTGTCTTCTAAGGATAATCATACGGGCTCTTTATGACATGTCATCGTGTTCCTTCAACGCTACCTTATCTAGCAACAGAATGCTACAATGTTTCATTATAGACCCAATATAAATGACCTTTTCATGTGGGCTATGACTTACGATCTGTTTATTGCGAGAGCTCGTTCTAACGCCCTGCAGTCTGCTGTCAGTGTAACGTGGCAATCAAACGACACGAGCGGTGAATTAAGAAATATTATCGTGTTTATAGTCCTACGTTAATGTATAAGTAAATGATCAGCGCTGTGAAACCTCGTTTTACTTAGCGTTTCTTAGGTTACATTGACCGTGTTTCAACTGTGGTGTTTGTATGGTGTCGAAGGAGAAAGATGACCACGAATGTTATGTCGTGGTATATTCAGAAACTGTGTTCCATAATTTGCTGTTACAGCCTGGGGGAAAACACAAATAATCTCACGTATATATCCGATAGATCGACTAAGTTTCATACTGAATAAGTAATACCACACTGATCGGCTATTCGCCTCTCCGGTTGAAGAGAAAAACTGTTTTTAGGTACAATGCAAAAATAAATTCGAAAATTCCTATATTTCACGTACTTCAGTAAATAGGGAATAACAACCTTTAACTACTGGACCGATTTGGAAGAAACTTGACAAAACAGATTTTATAAAAAAACACTGACTTTTTTTATAATTTGTCGTGTTTTCTTAGGAACGACAAAAGCAAAGTTTAAACCTGATAGTCTGGACTAGATCCATCTAGTTCAGAACAGAGTCCATAAACGAGTTTCTTCGAAAACGGTAATTAACCTTAGGGTTCCGTAAAAGGCGGGTAATTTCTATGAGCTTTGAAAAGAGTCTGCGCCATCGATTTAGTCGAAGTTTGCTCCGTTAAAAGCTTTGTGTAAGCTCCGGCAACTATTTCCTCTGAATTTAGATGTAGTTAGCAGGTAAGCAGGCAGGCAGACCAACAGACAGACGTCATGTGTGATCCAAATGCACCTCTCTTATGTAATCCCGAATGACATGCTAACCCTTTCTTGTTAGCATTAGAAATGTAGGGAACACGATCTGTTCTACAATAACAATTATACGTAAGTCTGCTGTAATGTTGGATGTTGACTTTGTGTTCAGCCAGGATCTGAATTTCTGTGACAGATTACCCACAGCTTCAGTGGAATTAATTTTAAGAATCAATCTGCAAGTAACATCAACTATGTTGTTGTTCTCGGATGTGACATCATGTTGACTAGTTAAGATTATATCATCATTTCAGAGAGAAGCATACTGTCTCCATCTTCAGTCATTCGAGTCAACACGGCGTCA